TTGCCATTTGCAGCAACATGGATGGACCTGGAGGTTATCATACTAAATGAGTAAGTCAGACAGAGAAAGACAAGTATTATATATCACTTATATGTGGAATCTAAAAAAAATCCAAATAAACTTACAAATCAGAAACAGACTCACAGACATAGAAAACAAACTTATGGTTACTAAAGGAGAAGGGGGTAGGGATTAAGAGTAACAGATACATACTACCATATATAGAACAGATAAACAGCAAAGATTTACTGTATGGCACAGTGAGCTATATTCAATATCTTGTAAAAACCTATAATAGAAATGAATCTGAAAAATATTATGTATGTACATATATGTCTATATATATGTCTGAATCACTTTGCTGCACACCTGAAACACAATACTGTAAATTAACTATACTTCAGTTTTTTAAAAAAAGTTACTATGAGAGTAGAGCTTTAATGTCACCATAGCAACAACAACAACAAAGTGGAAATTGAACTGACTGTGTAGTATCCAGTGATGGAAAATTTAGCCAAATCTTATGCACATCCCCATGTACATTCTGGAATTTTAAGAAGAAATTTTCAAAGGCGGAACATCTCAGATACATAGATTTTTCTCAGAAAACAAAAAAGAAGTCTACAAGTAATACTTGGAAATGTCAAGCTTCTATGCATCTGGCTTCCTATTTGAGAGCAAAGGCTCTTCTGTGGTTGGATCTAAGATATTCTTTGATTTCTTTGGAAACCACCTTGCTTGGGTCACTACTCTGTTGCTCCCCTTTCAGGTGCAAAATGTTTACCACAATAAGATTAGTTAACACATTGTTTTCCTGATATTCCATATCATTTTATATACAGTAGTGTGTATCTGCTAATCCCATATATATGAGAGAGAGAGAGTGTGTGTGTGTGTGTTATGAGACAGATATCACATTTTCTTCATCCATTCATATGCTAATGGACACTTAGGTTTTTTTCCACATCTTAGCTATTGTGAATAATGCTATAATGAACATGGGGGTACAAATATCTCTTTGAGATAGTAGTTTCATTTCCTTCGGGTATATATCCAGACATGTAATTGCTGGATCATATGATAATTCTATTTTTAATTTTTTGAGAAACCTGTATACTGTCTTCCATACTGGTTGCACCAATTTACATTCTCACCAACAATGTACAAGGGTTCTCTTTTAGGAGTCATTTAGACTTACATTTGTTTGTAGGAGTAAAAAGGACTGTGTAGATAAGTTCTTGCTTTCAGTGTATCGCTACTTAAAATACCATTCATAAAACACTATGATGTCCTAAGCACTAGGCTGAACATTTCATAAGCATTGTTTCACTTAATTATTGCAACTTCATGAAGTAGATACCATCGGTATATTTTTTTTTTCAGATGAGGAAACTTAAAACTCAAGTCTGATCTGTGAATATAGTTTTACTTCTTGCTTTCCAAAAAAAAAAAAACTGAAGTCTGGAGGAGGAAATAGTTTTCCTAACTTAACATATATGATGTAACAAAGCCTGGGCTGAAATACGAATCTTCCTGACAAAAAAATCTATGCTCTTAATCACCATTCAAAAATATTTCCTAAAATACTGTTAACAGAACAAACCATTCACACATGCTCATACTCAAGCTACAGGACTCTCTTTAAATTGAGTATTAGATAGATGAGCCAAATTCAAATAGAAAAAAAGGGCCCAGCCCTAGTCTTTTAGTTAGTTGTCACCCTCCAATACTTCATAGAATGGTCTGTGTTGTTGAATGACTTAGTAAAATACTGCATCCCACAAGAGCTTCCCATCATTTGAGAAAATCTTATTTCCTGTAAAATCAGAAATACTTTATCTGTAGTAGAAATCGTTTCAATGGATTTGTGTTTAAGCTGGCACCATAAAATTCAACTTAGCTCAAGCTTCCTCCTCTGGGAACCTTTCCTGATAATGCCATTTCTTTTCTTAAATATCTGTTTGAGTACTGCATGTGCCTGTGCAAATCTCATCTGAGCACTTACCACTCACTACAGAAACTGTCGCTTTACTTGTGTCATCCTTCTAGTCTGTGACATCTTGGGGCGCAGATACTAGGTTTTATTCAATTTTATATCCCTAATGCCTTTCACAATGCCCAAAATTAATCTGTGTGTAATAAACACCTGCTGATGAATTACAAAAATTCAATAGATGTACAGTGAAATGACTGGCCTGTGTGAAATGGAAGAAATCAAGTTCAAGTTACTCTCAAAAGAAATTGTACAGATGACTGATAATAAAGCCAGATACTTACTAACAGTTGTAACTAGCTAAACCAAAAATCAGAGAAGTAATTTGAAGTATCAGGACGTAAGAATTGTGCCACTAGATGACATGACTGAAACAGATTTTGACAGTTTCTGAGGGAAAGCGCTGTACATACCAGGGTTTCAGTTCGGACGCTTGACGGCGCTACAGGCTAAAAAGTAGGAGGGGCCCTGCATTTGCTGCAGACTGACTCCATTTTAGAAAAGACAAAATCTGAAAGGTACTGGGGATGCACACGGCTTGGAAAACAGCGGCACCGAATTCAGATGTTAGACCTTTTTTCAAACGAGTGGGGTCTAGACATAAACTGATGTTATCCCTCTTGGAAGACTTCGGAAGGCTTCTTTTATTAAAGACAACGCAAGGAGGCTATGTCAGAAACCGAGAGAAAATCTGGCAGAAAAAGGCAACTGGTGAGTTTTCCTTTTCCTTCTGGGCGTAGTGCAGGCAGCCCAGGAAAAGGAAACCTGCTTCTTATAGCCAGTTTCTGGAGATTTGGCGTTGGCAGTGGTAAGGGGAGTGTGTCCTTAGCAGCGGGAGGACAAATCCGTGTAAGGTTGTTTCCAAAGAGACCAAAGATTCGTGAGCAAAGGTTCTTATTAAGAGATCAGGGAATATTTTAGATCCACTCACAGAATAGCCTTTACTTCCAAATAGGAAGTCAGAGCTATAGAAATTATGCATTTCCAAGTGTTACTCATAAACTTCTTTTTTGTTTTCTGAGAAAAATCTATGAATCTGAGATGTTCCCCCTTTGAAAAATTCTTCTAAATGTTCTGGAATGTGCACAGGAACATGCATGAGATTTGGGTGTTTTCCATCACTGGAAAGCATACTGGGAGTTCAATTTCCATTTTCACAGTAATGTTTGATGCAATAGTGGGGTAAGTAATTTGTTCATTTGTGAGGGGGAAAAATCACTGGATGAAGAACAACCCAAGGTAAGTTTAATTTCACAGAAAGGAATGGTAGGTATCAAAGTAGTTTGGAACCTCTTAAGGTCCAAATTGTGACAATCAGTGACAACCTTTGAGATGTGTTCTTTTCAGCAACCTCACTGTCAAAGTCTGCTAAAGATTTAGTCTCAGAAAATTAAGGAAAGGTCACCAAATTCTCCAGGCTCATTGAATTCTCTAGCCTCTGCAGAGTACCCACCAAACATTTTAAGTATCACACGTATCTTTGCATTATAAACATCCACTGCAAGAAAATTACCAGGCAATTTCATGGCTATGTGGCAAGGCAATTTACAGCAGAAACAGTTTCAGAAATATTTTTCTTCACGTGGAAGATGTTGGCTGTGACAATACCATTGGATGACAATTCCATAAAGTTGGTCATGCTGACACTTATCTGCTCATCCTACAGTACTTCCAGAAACAGACTTCACCTCTTTAAGGATTATCTCAGCACTGTGGAGTAAAAAGAAAATGCCTTGGCCCTTCCTTCCAGAGTTTTCTTTCCACTGAATGTAAAAAGAAAATTCCATATTCCACCAACCTAATGCAGGACAGAGAGATGAGAAATACATCTCCATCACATCACTTTTATCTCCAGTGAAATTAGGTTCTTTGAAGCTGACAACAAGGCATTACTTGGAGACAGCTATCACCCTTGGCATTCATGCTTTTGAGCTCTGGGTAAAAAGCAGAGGAAAACATCCCCTTTCTGAATATTATCATTGTTGTTTTATTGCTCTAAACAATGGTGTACTGATGCCTTAGGTATGTTGATCTTACTTACAAGAAAACTGGTCTGGACATTACAAAAAATTCAGTATCAATAAAATACAGGGGATTATTTTAGAACAAAGAGAGGTAACACCCAACAGAATCATGAAACTTGGTTAAAAAACAAATTTTCTAAGACACTGCTTATAACAAGTGGTTAAGAAAATAAGTGCGTTTGTAAAAGGAACTCAAGAGTAAATATGAATTCTTGTTTAAATTGAAGAAAATCAGGGAAGATAATGGAAGTGTAATTAATAAAATTTCATAGGGACTGGATTTTAGATAATATTATGGAATTACTGTTACTTCAGTACATTGGGAGACCCTATTTGAAAATATTCCGTTTAGACTGCCATCAGTCTGAAATAAAGGAGTGGGATTTCCTTAATGTTTTGGAGAAAATAAACACTCAGAAAAGACGCGGGGTGGCGCTGCAGCATTAGAAGTAGAAGGAAGAAAGCTACCAGCCTGCGCTCCTTCAGCCAGATGCTTGTTTAAAGGAGCAAGCAGGAAGGGGGCTTTCTAAGGCTGTCGCTCGGGGAAATCAAGGCCCTAGGCATCTCCACTTATCCCAGTAACTGCGTGATACTGGGAGGTAGATCAACGACAACGTGAGCCCGAGCTGAGTCAGGTTTCCTGGAGACCAGAAAGCGATGGAGGTCGGAGAGAGAAAGGAACGCTTTCTGAAACAAAGGCAAGTCTTGATATTCTTTGTTTTCCTGGGCATAACTCAGGCTGGTTCTGAGCCTAGGCACTATTCAGTGGCTGAGGAAACGGAGAGTGGCTCCTTTGTGGCCAATCTGTTGAAAGACCTGGGACTGGAGATAGACGATCTAGCTGCGCGGGCGCCCCGGGTCATTTCCAAAGGGAAAAAAATGCGTTTGCATTTTGATAGGCAGACAGGGGATTTGTTGTTAAATGAAAAACTGGACCGAGAGGAGCTCTGCGGCCCTATCGAGCCCTGTGTACTACCTTTCCAAATGTTACTGGAAAATCCCTTACAGTTTTTCCAGGCTGAGATACGGATTAGGGACATAAATGATCATTCCCCAGTTTTCCTAGACAAAGAAATAGTTTTGAAAATTTCAGAAAGTATTACTCCCGGAACTACTTTTCTAATAGAACGTGCCCAGGACTTAGACGTAGGAAGCAACAGTCTCCAAAGTTACACAGTCAGCCCTAATTCCCACTTCCATCTTAAATTACAAGAGAGTCCCAGCGGCACAGTATTACCACAGCTGGTGCTGAACAAAGCACTGGATAGAGAGGAACAGCCTGAGATAAGATTAATCCTCACAGCACTGGATGGGGGTACTCCACCCAGGTCTGGGACCACCATTGTCCGCATTGAAGTCTTGGACATCAATGATAATGCCCCCGAGTTTGCAAAGCTGCTCTATGAGGTGCAAGTCCTAGAAAATAGCCCCATTGGCTACCAGGTCGCCATCGTCACTGCCAGAGATTTAGATACTGGAGCCTATGGAGAAATATCTTATGTATTTTCCCAAGCATCTGAAGATATTCGCAAAACATTTCGAATAAATGAAAAATCGGGAGAACTCCTTTTAACACAGGAATTAGATTTTGAATCTATTCAGAATTATACATTAAATATCCAGGCGACAGATGGTGGGGGCCTTTCTGGAAGTTGTGTGGTATTTGTCCAAGTGATGGATTTAAATGATAACCCTCCGGAACTGACTATGTCAACACTTATCAATGAGATCCCAGAAAACCTGCAGGAGACCATAATCGCTGTATTCAGTGTTTCAGATCCTGATTCAGGAGACAATGGAAGGATGGTTTGCTCCATCCAAGATGATCTTCCTTTCATTCTTAAACCTTCTGTTGAGAATTTTTACACGCTAGTAACAAACAGAGCCCTAGACCGAGAGACAAGATCCGAATATAACATCACCATCACCGTCACAGATATGGGGACTCCTAGCCTGAAAACCCA